CCCCCCCACCTTTATACTCTGTTAGCGACGACTGATCTTTCCTCCTCTCCCCATGAAAATCATGTGATTCCCTGCAAATTCCGCGGACCCCCCTCACCTAGGATATTGTAATGACTGGTCCCTTATCGTCATTTATTTGATCCGCCGACCCCTCCCCCCACAGGAGATAATAAAGACTGGTTCCTTGATACTATTTATTTTATTTTTATTGTCTAACAGTGTTTTTATGTCATTCCCGTAGGACTTGCCATCTTTTACTCAGAGTATTCACCGATTTGTCGGAGACTTACGGTACTACAGACTCTGCAACAGCAGCCTTCCCTCAGGCACCGTCAAGTTTTAGTACAAATTTATTTAAACAGAAAAGAAATTCATGTATTTTAAGGTTGTGTAAAGTAAACAATATTGACCACTTTGCAATTTATACCGAGTAGCTTGGACTCGTGTAATTTATAAACCTGTAACTATTCTTGTGTCGTTTAAGCTAGTGTAATTAAGTTATGACAATTGTACAACGATCCCCAAGGTGGTAAAAGGTGGAACGAGTCTCTGCTGAAATGAATATACTGTATATTTTTTTATATTTACAAAATTGGTACAGTGTAATTTGTAAAGAAAGTGAGATAGAATAATTTTCCCAAAAAAGTCTTGATTATGCGTTAATTTTATCAGTGAATAAAATGAATTTCAGTGGATTTTATTCTCAACCTCATTCCTCTGAACGTTATGCTAGTGAATAGGAAAGAGAGGTGAGGAAAATCTTGTTGCAGCATTTGCAAGTGATTTGTACAAGGTGAGTCTTCAAAGGTATATTTAAGTTACTCCCCATTTTGTCGAAGGCCTGAGTCTGAAATCGGGCTCGTTTGTATGCAGCCAGAGATTGCCGGCGAGATTTTTCTGTGATGCCTTTGCGTGGGTCATTTTTTACATACAGGCTTCAAGGAGTGGTTGGTAACAAGATCGGAATCACACCTTTTATGACATCATCTCATCTTGACTCATTCTGATGCCCACCAAATGTTTCATTTACATTGCAAATTTGTTAATCCTCATTTGATATTCATCTTACTGAGTTTTGCAAAGATCTTTGCACGCGCAGCTCAGAACTTGGCTTTTCTGCTTGGTTTTGAGCTCCTTGCCTTTAGTTACAGTTTATGTTGCAGACAAATAATCCGCAGCATGTCATCGACAGTCATAATGGCTGGCAGTTGAAGCTAAATTGTTGGTCTGTAGCATTTCTTTTAAGTAATGATCCTTGCACGTGGCCGGGTCGACTCAGTCAAGCCATAAAGAAACGAAGTCTTGGTCTTCTCTGAATTCACGTAAGTCATCTAGTTTCGTTCTGCTGCACATCGCATTTAGCTACCAACAATTTTGTAGACTTTGAGAGAGAAATTATGCTTTAATTTTAAGTACATATCTTTTATTTACATCGGCTCTCTGTCGGTTGTAGCTGAATATTTATCTCTACACTGGTATAGAGGTTTTGCCTCTCTCTCTTAGAATGAGGAGAACTTACAAATCAGAATTTTCTATTTGAAAGTATTCGTCGGGGAAAAAAAAGACAATAAAGATCAATTTCAGGTATTTGTAGAAGTAGACAAAATTAACCCTTTCACACCCAAGATCTGATTGTTAATTCTCCCCTCTAGCTGCTACACATTTCGTTGTTTATCATATAAGGGGCAAAATTATTGAATTGTGATTGGTCAAGACAGAGGACATTTTTTCTTAATTTTTGTAATAGCCCCGGGCAA